GTGACCCATCATTGCAGTCACTGCATATCCCTGTTCTAGCAGTCACTGCATATCCCTGTTCTAGCAGTCACTGCATATCCCTGTTCTAGCAGTCACTGCATATCCCTGTTCTAGCAGTCATGTAAGCAGCTCTTTCAGGTGCAGATGTCCCAGAACATAAGAACGGCCATACTGGGTCAGACCAAAGGTCCATCCAGCCCAGTATCCTGTCTATGGACAGTGGCCAATGCCAGGTGGTGATCAAGTGATCTCCTCCATCCTCTGACAAACAGAGGCTAGGGACACCATTTCTTACCCATCCTGGCTAATAGCCATTAATGGACTTAACCTCCATGAATTTATCTAGTTCTCTTTTAAACCCTGTTTTAGTCCTAGCCTTCACAACCTCCTCAGGCAAGGAGTTCCACAGGTTGACTGTGTGAAGAACTTCCTTTTATTTGTTTTAAACCTGCTGCCCATTAAACTCAATTTGGTGACCCCTAGTTCTTATATTATGGGAACAAGTAAATAACTTTTCCTTATTCACTTTCTCCACACCACTCATGATTTTATATACCTCTCTCATATCCCCTCTTAGTCTCATCTTTTCAAAGCTGAAAAGTCCTAGCCTCTTTAATCTCTCATATGGGACCCGTTCCAAACCCCTAATCATTTTAGTTTCCCTTCTTTGAGCTTTTTCTAATGCCAGTATATCTCTTTTGAGATGAGGAGACCACATCTGTACGCAGTATTCAAGATGTGGGCGTACCATGGATTTGTATAAGAGCAATAAGATATTCTCCATCTTATTCTCTATCCCCTTTTTATTTCTATCCCTTTTTTAATGATTCCTGCCCACATTATGGATCAGCACCACATCTCAGATGTGTGAGGAGAGTGAGGAGCTTCTCTAGCTTGTCAGGGAAAGTAAAACTAACACATTTGACATTACAACCTGCCAACCGTTGCCTCCACTGAGGTCCTGTGTGAACAGCATGGCATCAGTTCAGCCAATGTAGCACAGTTTTATTTATAGCTCTTGACTGTCTTGGTAGAAAGGGAACAACTGGGGCAAGCTGACTGACATCCTCTTTCTAATCACCTCATTCCAGCTGGAACACAGGATGCATGGTAACTTGCTCCAGCTGTTCAGCCCACACCGTATGTCGAGTCAGTGCACCACCTACTACCCCCATATTGCTGCAGCTGCATGATTCCTTCTGACCATGTACACAACCCTCCTTCCTACATCTACCCTAACACTTCAGCATAAACAACTTCACTCTTCTAAAATCAAATATTTCTGTGAAGTTTTTCAGTTCCAGTCTCCATCTGTGACAGACTGTCCTCCTTGTTCACACAGTAAGTATAGACTCTTTGGGACAAGGCCTGTTCTCTGGCACAGAACATCTATTGTACGTGAAGCTGTACGCTTACTGCCCAATAAAAGTATTACCAATGGGGAGAGAGAAAATACAAAACTCTGACTAAGCATTTTAAACTATCATTCCTTAGAGGTCACATCATTATGTGCTGCTTTGTCAGGATCACTGCAGTATAGTCTTGAGACTAATACCTTTACAGTGTATGAGCTTCCTTCCACAGAATCAAATCTGTTAAGAGAACTCTGAACAACTTCCTCCCCCTCCCCCCCCTCAGAACTTTTCCTTAGAGATCTGGAGAAAGGAAAGCAAAGGACCATGAGTGGGGCTGGATAGCTCATGTTTTACATAGGTAATGTGCTAGAACCTCTTGTCTCTGGGTCACTGGTTCAAATGTATCCCAGTAGTTACTGAAAATCCACTATATTCTGGGTACTGTTCAGTGGCCCATCTTTCATAAATTTGGTAGGTGGCAGTTCACTTCCTAGCAAACAAGTGTGATGTCACAATGTCATCACATTTTGTGCTCGTGCTGGTGGAGAGGCCAACACTTGGAGACTGAACTTACCCACTCGCTCCCTGCCAGAGGCAGTCTCTACTAGTTGATCTTAGGTGAGAAACACTGGTGAGCAAGTGTGTGCAAATTGTGCTATAGCTGTTCTGTGACTAAAAGAAGAGAATAAAGAGGCACCTTTCACCAGCACAAACTCTCCTTTTTAAAATTGGTGCAGTGGGGAGGAAATAAGATGGGCATACCTTCAGGAACGGAAGATACAGAAACTTTAGATCCTCATTAGGGGGCTGTGAAACAGGGTCTTGCCTCCTCCAGCATCAGACCCTGCTGCTGCAGTTACCCCACTCTTGAGTTCTCAGAACTGTCCCAAATGTGTGTACAACTCTGATGCCCCTTCCAGGATTTAGTTTAAGATAGCATAGATCAACAAAACATACGTCCAGCAACATAACCCTGGCTCTTCCCATTTTCAATCAGGATTGTCACAGGGCTCAGCAGTTCCTTGCATACTCCCACCCTCAATGGAAGTTCCAGCCTGGACCCCAAACAAGTGCACTTATCAACTCCTTTCAACACCCATCTGCACTATCTGTTCTGAGCTGCTTGCTTTTAGATGCATCCTTCCTCAAGGGCCTCCTAATTCCCTCCTCTCATTGCAGGTAACAGCAGCTGCTAGACCTTTTCTTCTTGCTGGTGTGGAGAACTCCTTCCCTAGTCCTTTCTGACCCTGGGTCTCCTGCAGCCAGGGGTGAAAGTGGGCCGGTACCGGCCTGTACGCAGTCGACGTTAAAGCGCTGCGGTGGCAAAGGACCCTCCAACGGGGCAAAAGTGGCAATGAGGTTAAAGTGCTGCCATGGCGCTTTATCGTCATCCGTCCGTCCCAGTCCCACCCTCCCACCCCCCACCCCGGCTGCCGACAGGGGAGTGGCAAAAGGGGCAGCTGCCCCGGGGCTGGCGATTTAAAAGGGCCCGGGGCTCCCTGCTGCCGCAGCAGCCGAAGCCCTGGCCCCTTTTAAATCGCCACCGGAACCCCAGGTGATGAGGGCTGGGCAGCGCTGAAGGGCTGGCTGGGGGAGGCTGACCCCCAAGCCCGCCCCTTCCGCCCGAGGCCCTTCCCCTTCCGGGGGCCCGGAGCCGGCCCCCATACCGGTAAGAGTTTAATACTACTTTCACCCCTGTCTGCAGCTCTCTGTCCCTTTATAAGAAACTCCGCCTCTGGGCTATCATGTGATGCCTGGTCATCTGACCCAACCACCAGCCTATTCCCAAACCTGTCACCCTGGAAGTGGATAACTAGGCATAGGTGCTGCTGAACCTTAAAGGGCTAGCCCACCCACTGAAAAGACTTGAGTTATTCAGGTCAGTTTTGTGGGGGGGGAGTGAAACCTGTAAGGTTATATTTTAGCAGCTTAAGTGGCAGCTTCTTTCAGAAGTTAAAATAATCTTGTGGAGTCTGAACTTAAGTTCCTAAGTACTTACATCCAATATTAACTTTTATCAGGTCTTTTTAACTATTATGCCTTTTTAACCACAAATCTGTTAATTTGTGTAGCTTTATCCTGAGTTTTAAAAAATAATCTTGGCTTCAAAGCCAAATACTTCCCTTCGTCTGATGAAAAAATTCAGTGATATTGCAAGGTTCTTATAAATGTCACATGTTTTTGACCCAAACTATCACCCTCCTGGTTTTATTTGTTTTTCAGGCTGCCAGCACGCCACTTAACCCTCTGAGCTTTCAATGTGGGTTTGTCAAGCTCAGGATTGACCTTCTGCAGGCTTTCTCTCAACTCATCTGCACCTGTAACAGCCTAAAAACTAGTCCACCACCTGCCATTGCCACAACAATCGCAATGACATCAGGAAATGACCTCCAGAGATGTGGGCGCATCTCTACCCAGGCATGTGTTCATTGTTTGTTTCTCTCCTGAGCAGTTTTATTTGAACTTGGTCTACCTGTTGAGATGAGAAAATTTAATTCTCTGATTGAAGGAATGAAAGGGAAAGTATTACTGAGCTTGTCATTGCATACTGGGCCTTGTTTTTCAACTGCGGTGTCCACAGATGTCCATGTGCCTGTGCAAGCCCTCATTTTGGTGTATCATCATATATAATCATGGGGTGGTTACGTATGCAATTACCAATTGAATGCACTCATATTTTATAAGGGTACAGAATATTTTGGAGGTATTATACTGTCCTGAGGAGCTTACAGTCTACATAGAGGAGCTGTAGAGTAGACAATATCTGAGACATACAAAAAGGGTGAGTAGCAGCTAGACTCATCAGAGAGGTGCAGTAGTCCTTTATATAACGTGTGTATGAGATAAGTTATTGAATGGTATATTAGCATTTTGTTAATAGTTTAGAAAGAACAGCTTAGTCAATGAATGATTTATTTTGTAATATCTAACATCTAGCTTACTCTCTTTGGCAAGTTTCAGAAATGTAAGATAGAGGCTACTAGAGGTACATTGCCAAAATATTTATGGCTTTGCTCAGTTCAATGTTGTAGAACAGCGGTTCTCAACCAGGGGTCCATGGCCCCCTGGGGGTCCACGAGCAGGTTTCAGGGGGCCTGCCCGAATAAACCAGAGAGCAGCGCCAGTGTTAGACTCGCTGGGGCTCAAGGCTGAAAGCCAAAGCCTGAGCAACTTAGCTTTGTGGAGCCCCCTGTGGTATGGGACCCTGGGCAGTTGTCCTTGCTACCCCCTAACGCCAGCCCTGGCTTTTAATCTACTGAATATGCAGAAAAAAACAGTTGTTGTGGCACAGGTGGGTTGTGGAATTTTATAGCATGTTGCGGGGAGGCGGGCCTCAGAAAGAAAAAGGTTGATAACCCCTGTTGTAGAACACAGCTGTGGTATTTTATTTCTATTGATCAGCAACATTGTTTCTTTGCTGTAGATGAAACTCTCTATGGAAGAATTCCGTAACCTGGCTACACGATATGGGGATCTGTATCAGTCATCTTTCGATGCAGACTCGGCAACTTTAAGGAATGTAGAATTGTATCCTACTGTTCAGAACTCAGAATTTGCTTGTTTTTATTTGAGGTTGCTTGTAAGGGTGATATAAGGCTCAACAATCCTAGTTTATGAAGTGTAATTCTGAAGCCGCTAATAACTGCTTTAAAAATCTCAATATTGGTATTTTGAAACCTATTCAAAAAGAAATCTGTCACCCTCCCACAATGTTGTTTTGTTATTTGGAATTGCTTCACTTGTTACACAAGCTTTGATGGGTATGATCTTGGAAAACTAGGAGTCTTTGGTTCTTGCCCTGTAGCTGGTGCAGATACTTATGGCAGTTACCTCTTTATATTCCTTTAGTTGTCATAATGAAAAATGCTAGTAGGGAATATTACTTTGTGTTGAGATAGCATGGCTATAAATCTTTCCTATAATGTCAGACAACAGCAGAGCTGCCTATTGATTTCGCATGCAGTTGAAGCCCTGATTTTGGATCCAGAAGCTGCAAGGTAAGTCTGCTGGTAACATTTCTACTCTCTCCACTCCCAGCTCCCTAACTTAGTTTTCTATCTAAGAGACCCTATTAACAAGGGAAAAATGCAGAAGATACATAAATATACCCTTGATTCTACACTGGGCACATTTACATACACACATCTGCTACAAAGCTCTGATCTTGCTAAGCTTAAATTGAAGATACTCTGGTAGCCTCCATTCAAATTGTCCTTTATTTGTGTTTGTTTTACTCCAAATTAATTTCATTTTAATGTAAAAGATATTGTAATTAAGTAGAATTGAGCTGTTTTTAGGTATAGATATTTTTGGGTCAAAATCATAGAAGTAACTTCCCAGATACTTCCTCTGCTGCTTGTTCTATTATTTTTAGCTCGTTGTTTCATTCATACCAGTGATTTTCTTTTGGGATTTTGTCATCTGCTGTTACTCCCTCCCTCCTTACGTGCACTTTCTCTCTCATTGCTCTAGAGACCTTAGGATACATACTTAATAGGTTACATTTTTCTCTGGTGTAAATCCATTGACTTCAGTGGAATGACACGAGGGATAATTTTTTCGCCCCATAAGACTGATTAGCACTAATAAAATGCCTTCATTTGGGCCCAATCCAACTTCCTTTGAAATTAATGAGTGCCAAATCAGATCCTTTGAAACTCTCCACTTGAGAAATGCAGATTGCATAAATATGTTCTGTTTAATCGGATAAAAAAACTTAGCTCTGTAATAATGACTACTCTCAATTTAGGAGTTTTGAAATAGGCTTCATAGGGGAATCAGTCCTAACCATTATTTCCGTTAATGACTAGGAGCGTGGATGGGAAGCTATGCTAATCAAACGTAAAAATATTTAACAGCAAGGGTTCACAAATAATTGGTATGGTAGGATGCGGGAGGAAGCATTGTTACATGTTTAAAATGCAGGGCTGGGTGCCAGGAGATCTGGACTGTATTCCTAGCTCTGCCAGTGACTTCTTGAGTTTGTTACTTAGGCTAATTGAGACACAGATGCTATCTGTGAGGATGCTAATGCTTGCTTATGTGCTGCAACTAAATTCATTAAGTTTTATCAAGTGTTTTGAGGCCAGGTAGAAGAATAAAGTATAATACTCATTCATGGTCTAAAATCAATACAACGAAATTTAATAAAGAGAATGTTGATTGGAAATGACAGGGCAGGTGAACAGCTCAGAGTACTGATTATGTAAAGCATGTTTGTTTTACTATTGTAATGTTTTGTCATGCCCCTTTTATGTGTCTGATCCATTCACCCACTGTGTCTTGTTACAAACCTAGACTGTGATCTCTCTGGGGTCAGAGCTGTGTTTTGACTGCATTGTACGTTGCCTAGCATAATGGCCCTGATCTCTTGGTTAGGGTAGTTGACATGGGAAGAAATGTGTAAATGTACAATTACAGGAAGAATACTGGAGCAACAACAATATCTCCGACATTCTGGAGGTTTCCCACTCGTGGCCCTGCCAGTACCTTGCACTCAGTGCCCTCTTGGGTTCTTTCAGTCAATTACCAAACTTAGGTTGGCTCAGAAACCCACACTCCCTTTGAGGGGTCTGATTTATTACATTTTTCTACCATGGGTGACTGACTTTGTTAGTTGCCCAAGGTCACCCACATCTGGGTCCCTAGAAGAGGACTGGTCAGTTCTTTGCCTTAGTTCGAGAGACACCCTGTTCTCTTCTTCCCCCCCCCCCTTCCTAAAGCTGAGGTTGTCCTTCAAAACAGGAATCCCCCAGCTCTCCTCCTTGGATCTGGGTTGTGAGTTAACTAGTCCCCCCGTCTCCTTAAACAGGAGTGCCCAGTTCTCCTCCTGGAATGGGGTATACATCAATGAAGCAGTCACTCTATCTCTCATTATGGCAGGATACCCCTAGCTCTCCTCCTGGAGCTGGGTAATTCCAGCAGTTATTACCTCTCTCCTTAAACAGAAGTCCTCCGCTTTCCTCCTTGGGGTTGGGATATAATTTAGGCAGCTGTAGGACCTAGCTAGCTTCTTCCTCAGCTGGCTCCTTTTTCCCCTCTCAATCCTCAGGCTAGGAGAATCCAGTAGGTAGACTTCTCTTGCTTGTGTCTGCCCTGCTATGAGAGAAAAGGCACCATTTATGCTGGTGCCTGACTCCCAGCTCATCCCCTGTTGGCTTGGGCAAGAGGGGAGCCTTGCCCAGCTCTCTCTACAAGGCTTCTGGCCCTTAAAGAAACAGTGATGGGATTTTTCTCCCAAGCACCATTTAGTGCCAGGGCCACTTCCTCTGTATCAATAACGTCTAGGTCCTTTTTACACACTCATGCTCTCACTCTGGACCTTTCAAACCTCGACAGGCTAAGCCATGTGACAGGTTGGGCTGACCAGAAGGCACAACCACCCTTAAGAGGGCAGATCACCCTGGTACAGGGTTATGGTAAATGAGATTTAGTGATATGACAATGTTCCAAAAAGGAAAATATGGCCTTAATTTGCATGTACATCTATGTAACTTCCGTTGCTGTCAGTCAAGTTGTGTATGTGCATTTGAGCACAGGATTGTGCCAAGACCTGAGTGGCTTTTAACAGGACTGTTGCTTTGGGGTCAGGGATAAAAAGCAAGGTAATTATCCTGTACTAGTCTGCAGTGGTAGGTCCTCAGTTGGAGAACCTTCTTAGATTCTGGTCACTGTAAGATCTTTACAAAATAGAGAGTATGAGGGAAAAGCAATAAAAATAATGCACAGTTTAAGAAATAAAACTTGTAAAGAAAAGCTAATGGATTTAGGGATGTTGGCTCTAGGAAAGGATAGAAGAAAGACCTAATTGTGCAAAATGGGGGTTTAAAGAGGGCAAGACAAAAAATCATGGACAAACTACAACAGGGGTCGGCAACCTTTCAGAAGTGGTGTGCCGAGTCTTCATTTATTCTCTAATTTGAGGTTTTGCGTGCCAGTAATACATTTAAACGTTTTTAGAAGGCCTCTTTCTATAAGTCTATAATATATAACTAAACTATTGTTGTTGTATGTAAAATAAATAAGGTTTTTTAAATGTTTAAGAAGCTTAATTTAAAATTAAATAAAAATGCAGAGCCCCCCCAGACCAGTGGCCAGGACCCGGGCAGTGTGAGTGCCACTGAAAATCAGCTAGCGTGCCGCCTTCAGCACGAGTGCCATAGGTTGCCTACCCCTGAACTACAAGAAGGAAAACTTGGGTTTAAATAGGAGGGGATAGATTATAATTACAGTATCAGAATAGCCAAGGAGCAGAACAAGCTGTTTGAAAGAAATGAAATCTTCCTTACTGAAGATACTTAAAGCTGGAATAAACAACAATCTTATTGGAACTTGTTTGAGGATGGGACTAGATGACTAGGATGGGTGGAGTATGTCGGGCACAATTAAAATAGCTTATTTTCTAGTTTCCAGGAGTACACCTCGAGTGGAGCAGCACATGTTGAGAGTGAATATGAAAGAAGAATGATGTCTGTATTTAATCATGTGTTGGAGGAAGTGGAATCATTGAACAGGAAATATGCTCCTGTGTCTTACTTGGCAAGTAGCAGCTACAGTATAAAGAGAGGCTTCTAAAACATTCTGTAACTCGTTTCCTTGGTGTTGAGGAATATATGCTAAAGAATACATTGATTCAGCCCTTCATTAGCATCATCTACAATTAGCGTATGTGTTCTCCAGTGAATAGGGGGTATCAATAATGATGATGTTGCACGTGGAGCTATGAAATTAAATAAAATTAGCCTGAAGAGGGAAGCAAAGTTGGAGGTAGCTCACATACTGACTAATAGTGTTTTTCATGTTCCACAGTCCTAGTTACAGCATCTGTAACATTAATGGTCTGATCAGAATGGACAAAAGTCAAGAAATACAGAGACTGATATGATGCTACTGACTGGGGTGGGGGGGGAAGGGCACTACAGTAAAAGTTTAAAAAAAGGAATGTCAACATTAACATTACATATTCTGACTTTTGTCAGTTTGTCATATCCTTTGTTACTAGTGCTGTAGTTGCTGTCATGCAGCAATTTTGTCTGTGGAATGTGTGAAATGCTGCAGAGTCCATGTGTCACAGCCTTCCAGCTTTGCTTCATTCGTCAGGCCAGTGGCATTTCAGCACAGCACTTTGCAAGTGTAGTGTTTCTCTTATCCGTGCAGGTCATCGGAGAACACAATGCAAATTGTACTATTCGAAAATACAGAACTGATAACATACTGCTCTTTTCTTCACTGCTGTACAGTACTAGTACTTGTTTCTGGTAACATTACTGGCCTTGATAAAGCAGAAATGTAAATTATAGGAAACCATGTTTCATGCACGGTTTTTTGCATCTACTTCTATTTATTATTTAAACTGACATCACCCACTTATTCTAAAGTGAACTATAAAACACAGCCAATGTAAACTTTGAAAGATTATTAGAATCTCTTGGGTATTTTACAAAGTCTCTCATCATAGAATCCCTTTTCTGTTGCTTTCCAGCTCTTCAGTCTGGGTATAATATATAAAAACAAACTGAACTCTTTCCTTGATTCTCCCATCATGCCAGATTTAGACCAGTGTAATTAATTTACTCTAGTGGCATTACTCCTGACTTACATGAGTGAGACGGGGAATCGTTTTTAAGCCAGATATAAACACCAATGTTCTAAATTCAGCCTTGTAAATGGGTGCAACTCCACTGACCTCAGCCCTTTTACATTACAGCTGAAATAACGCTGCATGTATTCCTTGTAGGTTCTTCTTGGCTATCTTGTTGGTCTGTCAGGTCAGGACATTCTGTGTTCTGCCCTTCCAGAAGAGAGCCCTGATGATCTAATGGTCTCTTTCCATCTCTGCTAGTAAATATGTGCTATCCTGCAACCTTGATGGTGCATTTATTGGTCTCTTAGGGTATGTCTTCACTAGCCACGTTAAAGCACTGCCATGGCAGCGCTTTAACGTGGCTGTGTAGTCACAGGGGGAGTAGCTACCAGGGCTGGGAGTGCAGCTCCCAGCACTGGTGCACTGTCTACACTGCCACTTTACAGCGCTGAAACTTGCAGTGCTCAAGGGGATGTTTTTTCACACCCCTGAGCGAGAAAGTTGCCACTGTAAAGTGGCAGTCTGGACATGGCCTTAGTAGAAGTAACTGCAGTATTACTGCTTGAAGGACATGCTTTTCATGTTGCTGTTAAAAGAATTTCATCTCATTTGCCTTGTCTCTGTTTACAGCACACAGCTTGCTTATGCAATGCGGTTATCGCTTTGTTGAAAGTTCCCCTTTCATTTCAAAGGTATTTCTTTCAGAAATTGCAATCTACAAGTATTAAGGTAAGCAGTGCACAGATTGGATTTAGATTACAGTTCATGCATAAGAATCTTATGGGGAAATATAACAATCATCCTAAAAAAAGAAAAAGATACAGCTCTAGTGTTCATCATGCTAGAGCAAGGAAGCTGCCTAGTGTCTCAACCTGGAAGCAAATTTGGGGGATTTGAGGGGGTTTTCTAAAAGCAGATTTAAAAAACCAAAACCAATTCTTTCAGGCTATTTAAGTCACATAAAACACTAGAAATTACTGGATTGTGATGCTGTTTTCCATTATGACTCAACCAACTTCAGTTTAAAAGAATGAAATGTGTGGTATTGTGGGAGGAGGAATATAACTGGCTGAGTTATGGTTTAATACTTCGCTATCAAACAGGGTCAGTAAGTGTCTTCCGTAGACTTTTTTTTAAAAATTATTTTATACCACATTCCTTTGATTTGGTTCTGTACAGATAATTGCAAGTTAATAAGACTTGAGACAAAATTTTCAAAAGAATATAAGTGTCTTAGGAGTAAGTCCAAATTCTACTTTTCAGGAATGATTTAGACACTTGGGTGTCTAAGTCTCAGTGAAACTTAGTGTGGAAGGGGCAGATTTTTAAAGGTATTTCTTTACCTGAATACCTTTAAAAATGTGGCATTTGCAGCCTAAATCACTTCTGAAAATACTTCCCCTTATTTTCTTTTGAAAATGTTACATATAGATGGTGGGTAACACCATTCAAATGAAACACTGGTAGCCAGCCTCTTGTAACATTCTTTGCTTTGTGGGGAGGGTTTACATTGTAATTTCCCATCTCACTAATTGTTGTCCTGAATTTCTATAACATGGTATGTTTTGAGATAAGTGGGCTTTTGTCAAGTTAGTACTGTGATATTTTGTAGCTCTTGGCCACTTTCATCTGTTGCCTGAAGGAGGCAGGATTTTGCAGTGCTATTGCAAAGTGCATTAAAACAAACATCTGAGTTATCAACCTGCTTTAGGCACAAAATTTCAGACCTCTTGAGCCTAGGTCTATTTGGAATAACTTGAAGTGTGTGTATATAAGATTATCCGAGTCCTAACCTTAAGGGCTCTTAACAAGTAAACAGAATTAAACTTTGTAACTGTAGAGCCTTGAAGATAAAATCTCTCACCAACTTTCCTCAGTCTTGGACAAGGAAGGCCTCGCAATGCTCATCTCCTGAGGGAACACCTCCTGTCACTCTGCAGCAATCTTCCTTGCTCATTTATAAGTGATGTTTACAGTCTTAGACTGAAAAGCGTTTTCTCCCTCCTCAGCTGGCAGGACTAGAATAGCCAGGCATGATATGGAGCCACTGGGGAGGGAAATGAAGGGGAGCCTTGGAGTTTGGAGGACACGCCCTTCCACTGGGGAAGGGAATACCCAATCTTGACAGTTACACCTTTTAGGAACAATGAAGCAAAATAGACTCAGACTTTTAATCTGGTCTTTAGTTGTGGGATATTTAGAGGGCTGTTTAAGGAGTTCCTTTCACAGATGTGTAACTGATGCTACAGGTGCAAAGAGCATGTCTGGTGTTCCCAAGGCCCTTTATTAATTCTCATATGCTTTAGGAGACTCTTCTCTCTCCCCTTCCAGTTGTATATTTTCATCTGTTGCTTCCCCCTTCCAGTGTACAGGGAGCTGTTCCCTTTTACCTATGAATTGCACATTTCTCCTGAGAAGAACTAATTTTTGAATCCCTCAAAGTCCGTAATCTCCACTCCTGACTTCCTGTGTTTCAGCTCGCTCTGTCTCCATCTCCACGGAACCCTGCAGAGCCCATTGCAGTACAAAACAATCAACAGCTGGCTTTAAAGGTGGAGGGAGTGGTTCAGCATGGCTCCAAACCAGGTCTCTTCCGCAAAATTCAGTCTGTCTGTCTAAACGTATCTTCAACACTGCAGAGCAAATCTGGACAGGACTACAAGGTATGGGTAGTATAGAGCCATAATGTGCCCTATGGCTTTATTGACAAATAACTGTCAAGAGCAGAACATAGTCTTCTATCACTTCTGTTGGTAGAAAGCATCCTGTCATCACGTTTCCCCTTCATTCTCACCAATTCTTGTACTAAAGGGGAATGCACGTTTCTTGTTTGTATTTCTATACTGGTTTTAGTGCTCTTGAAAGGAAGACTTATAGCACTGGTTAGAGCATGGCATAGTCCAGGTAAGGAATGTGCTAGCTTCCTCATGCATTGCTGTTTGAGTTCCTCAGTCCACACCTGCTGCAAACCGACACTGCCTTTATGTGGGGCTCTGTGGAGCAGAAACTCATCATTCTAACTGTTGTGGGAATTTGCTTCATATTGTGGAACTTAATTCCCTTCTGAATGCAGCCAGGTCACCTGAGGAGAAAGGCAAGAGTAGCTAATTCTCTACCAACTAGCCACACAAACATATTTGAAATCCCTTTGTGTTAAGCATTAGGATTCTTGCTGCCTACAGTAACTGACCTAGGAATGCAGTCTGCCCTAAGTGAATAGTTGTTAAATACAATTATGTTAAATTCAGGTGAACAATTCATCAAAGATCCAAGCTTCTGACGTGTACAAGCTAGGCAATTTGTAATATTCAGTGAAAAGCCAGTTGAAAAGTAGACCAGTTCTAAAGCTACTAGGAAGAATGTAATGTTTATCCTATTTAGATACTAATTTAAGATTTAGAACTGCTTGAAAATAACTGAAGTCAGCTACCTTTCCTCTATTGGTGAATGCAGTTTGCACCCATCAACAGAGAATGGGTGAGGCCTTGCTCAAAATTAGGCCTCAGTTGATTTGGGAAAAGTGAGAACAGTTAATATATTGTTCTTGCTTGTCTTTCCGTACCGTACCACACAGAATGAGTGGTAGCTTGTCAGGATCTGAACATTCTGACTCTTCATGTATTCCCAGATCCCCATTGACAACATGACCAATGAGATGGAGCAGAGGGTGGAACCACACAACGATTACTTCAGCACTCAGTTTCTGTTGAACTTGGCGATCCTTGGCACCCATAACATCACAGTAGAGTCCTCTGTAAAAGACTTAAATGGTATTGTTTGGAAGACTGGGCCCAAAACCACCATTTTTGTTAAATCTCTTGAGGATCCCTACTCCCAGCAGGTTCGCCTTCAACAACAGCAAGGACAGCCACCGACACAGCAGCAACAGCAGCAGCAAAGAACAGCATATTCGCGTTTTTAGTCACCAAAAG